TCTCTCTCTCTCTCTCTCTCTCTCTCGCTCTCTCTCGCACACATACACACACACACAGCCTGTCTCGCTCACGGGTCACTCTCTGTGCGTCTCTCTCTATCTTGCTTCCTCTTTCTTTCTCTCTAGGGGGTACCGACCATTGGCGGCGGCAGCGAAGCCAACCAGGAGCAGTGCGAAGAGCATCATGATCACGGTGATGATCGGACGCGGAAGCAGGGACACTGGAGATCGACGGCGGCACAGAAGAGACGAGGGCCGAGGAGGGGACGGAGTGCGGGCCGGAGGACACACACGTCAAAAAAAGGGAGAGGACATGCACGGGAGAGGCAGGAAGGGGAGAGGGCAGGAGGGAGAGAGAGAGAGGAGGGGGGGACGGGGCTGGGAGACAGCAGAGTGCGTGTTCGCCAGAAGGAAAAAAGGGTCAGCAGCAGGGCGCGAGGAAAGGCAGGCACGAACCAGACATGGTGGTGGGAGGGAAGAGGGGGGGGGGAAGGAAAAAGAGGGAGGGAGGTATCAAAAGGGAGCAAATGATGTGTCCGCAGCTTGGCCAGCATTCGGGCCGCACATTCTTCCTTTTTATAGTTCCCACCAGCGGGAAGCCGGGAATTCCCGGCGCCCCCCCCCTGGACTTGGACTTTCGATCGTTCGGTCCGGCCCAGGGGGCCGGCGGGTAGCCGCGCCCGGGAGTAGTCAGTTACTACCGGCTGGCCCCACTCCCGCCTGAGATGCGGGGGGGGGGGGGCGGGGGGGCGGTCCGCGCCCAGGCCAGGCCGTTTCCGAGCCGGCCAAAACACAACTGACGCAAGCCCTTCGCCAAACAAAGGGGGACACCGGGGGGGGGGGGGGGGGGGGGGGGGGGGGGGGGGGGGGGGGGGGGGGGGGGGGGGGGGGGGGGGGGGCCAGGTGTGCCGCGACTCGCGCCCGGGAGGCCACCACGGCACCCGGCGCCAGCGAGCTTCAAAACGGCAACCAGCGCAACACCCCCGCCCCGGCAACTCACCCTCTCGGGAGGGGCCGGCCAGGGGCCTCAATGGGCAAGTTACCCCCCCTGGAGCCCAGGCGCCTCGGTTCCCCCTCCGATGCTCAAGGCAGCCCTTCTCGAACATCCGGCGGTCGCCCAGTTTCTGGGTATCAGCCGGGCAGACTCGTGGGAGCGGCGGCCGGGGGGGGGGGGGGAACTTGCGCAGTCGCCACCACACCAACACCCTGGTCGACCGGGAGAATGTTTACCAGCCAGGCAGAGGCGTTGCGCGCCGGGATGCAGGGTCAGGGGGACCCCCGGGTTTCGCGCCCGTGTCTTGCAGCTCTCGGAAGACAGCCGTGGGGCATGGGGGGCGGGGCGGGTTGAGCGACGTAGCCCGCGCCAAGACGTCCCCCCCCCGAGGGCGGGCGGGCTGTTATTTGCCCGCAAAAAAAAGGACGAGAGAGGGGGCGCAGGGGGCCCAGGCGTAAGACACTCAACGTGTCTTGGCGGAGGCTCCTCGCCGCCCCCTGAAGCCGAGCGAACCCCCGGGGTCAAGCGGCGCCCTTGGTCCCGACGCACCCGGAAGTCATGTGCAGACGTGATCCCGTAAGTGCCACCGGAGGCTCCGCGATCGCCTGCGCCCAGCCGAGGCCCCGGCCCCCCGGCAATCGGCGGGCTGAGGGGGGGGAGCGCTAGACGGGATATATGTTGGACACACCGACGGCGCCGGCGTATTCGTCCCCACAGATGGGCAGGCCGGCCATCCCCCGGCCTGGGACGCCAGGCCGGAGGGGCGCGCCTGCTCGTATAGCGCCAAAAGCAATCGCGGCTGCCTCGCACCGGCATTGGTGCCCCGCAGAGAGTGTCTTGTCTGTCCCCCTCCTCCCCCCCTCCCCCCTCTCCTGCCTTTTCCCCCTCGCGCTGCCCGCCCTCCGTTTGTCCCCTCGACAAATCCCCGAAGATGATGCTCCGCTCGACGCGTGTCTCGCTCATGGCCGGCCGCCAGCTGGCCGCGCCGCTGCTCGCCATGCGCCCCCTCTCCTCCACGGCCGCTCCAGCCAAGTGGGCACAGCTTCCCGAGCCGGAGGCCGCCGGTGACGCCGGCCTGGTGCAGGTGTTCACGCGGGCATGTGCCAGCGGCAATGGTGACATCGGTCTGATTGCCCTGCGCCAGCCGGCCGCCATGAATGCCCTCACCGCGGACATGGGCAACGCCTTTGGCGAGGCGCTGGCCTCGCTGGTGACCCCGGGCGATGGCCGGGTTCCGGTGCGCGCGGTGGTCCTGTGCGGCGCCCCGCCCGATGGCGATGTGGCCGGCATGCTGGATCCGGCGGCTCGGGATGAGGCCGCCGCCGCGGCCAGCACCTCCGGCCGGCGCCCGCCCCCGGCCGCCTTCTCGGCCGGTGGCGACCTGGCCTTCCTGGACAACCGCCTGGACACGGCGCCGGCCGACAATGTGGCCATCATGCGGCGCTTCTATGCGCGCTTCCTCCGGCCGCTGCGCGAGTGCCCGGTCCCGACCATCGCCGCCATCAACGGACATGCCGTCGGTGCCGGCCTGGCCATTTCCCTGGGCTGTGATATCCGGTGCGCGCCCAGCGTGTGGCCCCCCCCCCCCCCTCCCCCCTGCAGGGCCTTCCCTTTTCCTCAAGCAAAGCCCCTGCTCGCCTCCGCCCCCTCTTTCATCCTTGCGCTCGAGCCTGGCCCCCTTCCGATGTGCCTCTCGCTTTCTCCGCCCGCCCATCTTCCTTCTCTGACAGCCACGCAGTCTGGCCGCTGACTCCGCGCGCATGGGTCTCAACTTCGTCAAGCTCGGCATCCCGCCCGGTGCGTTGGATCCCCCCTTCGCCTGTCAAATGCCCCCAGCCTCGCCATTTTTGCCCCTGCTAACCCGGTCTCTCTGGCTCCTTCGCTCCCACCTTCTTTGCCCCTTTCCATCTTCCCCCGGCGCACAGGCATGGGTAGCACTTTCCTCCTGCAGCAGGCTGTCGGCCCGCAGGTGGCCGCCCGACTGCTGCTCACCGGCGACCTGGTCGAGTGCGTGCCCATCCTCCTGGTCCACGACCTGACACCTCTCCGACCGCATCCCGCCTCCTGACCTGATGCTATCCCGCCCGCCCGCCCTCCCGCCCGCCCTCCCTCGCCCCCCGTCCTCGCAGCGCCGCCACTGCCAAGAGCTACGGCCTGGTGCTGGACACTTACCCCCTGGACAAGGTGGTCCAGTCGGCTGTCAGCTTGGCGGAGAACATCGCCGGCGGGTCGCCATACGCCGTGCGCGCCACCGTCAAGGCCCTCCGCACGGTGCGTACTTTTGTCCCCCCGCTGCCCCCCCCCCCCCCCCCTTTTCATTCACCCATGCACATGCTCTCCCTGCCCTCCGCCTGGCTGTCTGACACATCGGTCCCCTGCTCCCCTGGGCGCACAGCATGTCGACCACCCGTCCACCAGCCTGGAGCTGGCTCTGGAGCGTGAGGCCCTTACCCAGGCGGCGGCGTATGCCGGCGGCGACCTGGCCCTGGGGCTGAAGTCCATCCGCGAGAAGAGCAAGGACTCCCTGGTCTTCCCGGAGTGGCGCGACCCCACCGAGTAAGACCTCGCACGGCCTCCTGCCCCTTCCGACCCGTGTTTTGTGTGTGTGTGTGCGCGCGCGCGCACACGTACACACACATGCACACACACACTTGCACACATGGTATATAAACAACATTCCCCGTGGCCCAGGCCCATACATGTCCTACATGAGGGCCTTGTACTGAAGAATGCCCTTCGCTCAGGGAGGAAGGGAGGCACACAGCCCGCTGCCAGCTGGGGGAGAGGAGGACGAACGATGGTCGCCTGGCGGCGTGGAAGACAATGCGAGGCAAGGGCACACGGGAAGGGGGCGTCGAGATCTCAGCCGCTCGGCGGGTGGTCCGGATCCTTGGCTCGGAGAAAGCCCAGAATCGAGCTCTGGCCGGGGAGGGGCTGCTGTCGCCGGGCCGGTGCTTTCCGGCCGGCCGGCACGCTCGGGCCGGCGGCCTTCCGCCGTGTGGGGATTCTCGTCCGGGCTGCAGCGGCAGCCGGCTCGGCCTCGAAGGGAGCGGGCTCTGGGATAGTTGGCGGGCTGGGCGGGCCAGCCGCCCCAGCCCCAGCCTCCGGAGGGGCCGCATCCCCACCGGAGGAGCCAAGATCCCCGACTGGCGGCAGTCGCTGCAACGAGGCCGCCGCCGCCGAGGCCGCCGCATGCAGCACGCGATCGCTCAGACAAGAGCCAGGCGTCACCGGAGAGGGGGCCAGATCTTCGGCCAGGCGGGCGCGCTTGGCCAGCGGCGACTGGGCCACACGCCGACCCCGGTCGGTCGACGCCAGCCCCGGCCAGTGTGGCGCGCCCGAGTCGGTGGCCATGCCGATGACCGGTGTTTCGAAGTCCAAGTCCACCAGTGTCCCGGCCACATTGCCCGAGGGGGTGGTCGCCGAGTCCCGGTCGACAGCCGTGCCGGGAGTGGCTGGCGGTGCACGTCCGAGAACCGGATTCGGGCTCCGGATTCCCGCCCCATCTGGCAGCGGCGGGGGAACCCTCGAGCCGGCTGTGCAGGGAGTCGCGGACAGGGAAGCCGCCCCCGAGGCCCGGGGCGTGTGGAGCGGCGTTGCTGGCGGCATGTCGCGAAGCATCTGTGCCAGCAAGCCGGCTGACGAGCCGGCGGCCGCTCGTGGAGTGGAGACTGCAGTCGCGACCGGCGATGCGGCCGTGGGCAATGCACGCGCGATGGCGTCTTCGGCGGCCGGGGCATCCTTGGCCGCCAGGGCGCGGCCGATCTCAGCCTCCTCGGCGTCGAGATCCGCCTTTCGAGCCTCATGCAGCGCCTCGGCCAGACCTGCACAGATGGCCGAAGCTCGAAGGGAATCCAAGGCAAAGCGCAGTGGCCGGCTTCGCTGGCCTGGAGCCAGGTTACTGCGGCCAGGCGCCGTGGAAGCTACACGTGCAAGTACGCCTGCTCGGACGTGAGGAAGAGGCAGAGAGAGAGAGAGAGGAAGGATCATCGGGAATCCAGGAGAGTCAGAAGACGCGCAAAGGGAGGGCGCATGGGAAAGGAGAGGATGGGAGACTGGTGTGACCCCAGGAGGAGGGACGAAGGGGAGGATGCGCGCCATCAAGGAAGGGCCGGATGTGATCCAGACAAAAAGTCACCTCGAAAGGGTCCTTCGGGTCGGCCCCGGTCGGCAGGAGCCCCACTCGACCAAGGTGACGGACACATTCCGAGCGTGAGATCTCCGCGGGGCTCATGTACTCGACAATGGCGGCCAGGGTGGCTATGGGAGTCCATGTTGGGGTCAGTTCCGCCGCACGCGGGCCACCAATGTTGCCCGATGGTCCGCGAGAGGGAGCCAATCAAGTAGTGGACGACAGGACACACCATGCTGTTGGCGAAAGAGAAAATCCACGAAGAAGAAACCCGGGTCGAAGGGGGAAGTGAGCAGGAGGTCTTCTCCGGGGAAGACGGCCGCTCCGACACGCAGGGAAGACCGCCCAATGTTTACCTGCAGCGAAGCGCGCCATCAGAAGCGGGACGGGTCGGGCGGGAGGTGCGAGCAACAAGAGAGAAGGCGGGAGAAAAGGGAAGAAAGAGGAAGGGCGGAGTAAGGGCAGCGTCAGTGGGAAGAGGGCGCAGACTTGGGGAGTGGGGGGGGGGGGGCATCTGTTGGTCGATGGGATGTACATGCTGGGTTTGGAAATAGCGCCGTCGATCAGTGCAGGTCAGAAAGAGAGACCGCTCGCCGGTCACCGGATGTGGCATCCACACCGATAGGAGGTCGTCCTGCTCGGCCGCCGCCGGCAGCAGGGCGATCTGTCCTTTGCAACCGCCACCGGCGACGGGATCGATCTGTGCCATGGCCATTCGCGACCCTGTGGGATTGGCCTCCACGGTCGGGCTGGAGAAATGCGCGTGTGTCTGGGCAACAGGCGAAGGGGACGTGGCAGGTGTGAATGCGCGGGTGCACCAGCCGGCTAGCCGGCAGGATGGATCGATTGGGGGGGGGGCCGAGTGGGTGTCTTGGCGGACGGGCGGACAGATACACAGGCAGGCAAAACAGCAGCAACAGCAGCAGCAGCAGCAGCAGCAGCAGCAGCAAGGGAGGCGAAGAGGAGAGTGACCGCGATGGGAGGCTCATTGCCCAAGCAGTCAGCCGGGACGATCGCCAAAAAAGGCCAACGATCAAACGGCGCGGGCTAGATGCCAACGGACAGGGGTCCCCATGTGTCGGCCCAGGGCCGATTCATTTCTGTCTCCGCGGAAGTTCGCAAGGGCCGGGCCGGGCCGGCAGCCGGTCCCCAGGGGATGGATGCGAGCGCGTGGTTGC